CAAACAACTGATATCCTTCAGGGATCCAATTTATTCCTTCAAAGCCCACTCAAGGATGTCATTCATTCATGTGTCCGTTGGCCAAGCTGAGCAAGTGTGAGCAGGATGCATGTTACACCATGGGGCCTGACAGAATCAATTCTTTGCACCCTGGATCCCTCGCATTGAGTGCATCAAACAGCTTTCCCTGATGGGTGCCACCCTATATTCCAAGGTATACGCCCAAGTCACCCAAAAGTTCAAAGTTGTCCAAGGAAAACGCACATATCATGCATACCCAAACTGGTCAACCGAGAGTCTATTTCAGGTTCGAACCCTTGGTTTTCAGTGACTCCAACTGCAAAAAAACATGTGACTGCAAAACGCATCTCCACCTCCCTGGGGTCTCTGCTGGTCTCGCAGCACCTTGGGCTAGTAGACAACCATCTTCGAGTTGGATCGGCCCAGGCGAATCTTCAAATCCACCTCAGGGGGCGGACAGAACGACATGGCCTTCGACGCCCAGCGACGCCCCGGGCCGCACGTTGGTGTCGAGTGGCGAGGTCGGGACGTTCATCGTTGACATCGGGGGATGGACGCTGCACCTGCCTGGCCGGGGTCCGCGCCGGAGCAGCGCCGGAGCATCTTGGGGGGGGTCCCAACGGATCTGCCAAACGGAGCGGGCCTCCGTACTTGATGCCAAATGTGCTTTGGATTTCCCGGAATGAGTTCGGGAGAAGGCGTTCCGTTCTGGGTGACTGATTTTGTAGTGAACACTCCAATGGAGGATTCAGGTCACTAATGAAGGAACATGTCAGCGCTGAATGGGTATGTATGGACCGTCCTCAATCCTTCCAATATATTAGACTCACCAAGAAACTTTAAGAAATATTACAAGTAGGAGTTTTTTTTTTTTCAACCACCCCAATGTATCTAAATATGCCGGTCCCATGGAGTGTCTGGCTATTACACTATAACTTTTGTTATACAGTAACTGACATGATCTGCGTCTCAAGCGCTGCGCCGTGTGTCTCATCCACGTGCAGCGGGGTCAACAGCATGCCGGTATAGGAGAGGTTGATGTGCCGACAGGCTCTTTCAGCTCCAATGAGAGCCCTCTTGTCATCCGGACTAGGAGGATCCACGTCTTGATGGAAGCTGTGATGGCAAGATTAGGTATTCAGTCATGCTTTCCATCTACGGCTTAGCTGCGAGAGCTCACTTGGGGAATCCCCTCCTCCAGTAAGGTGCTACCAAAACGCTACCATCTTTCAAGCTCCTTTGTTTAGATCCATTTGTGGAATTGTGGGCTAACAAAAGGTGGGTTAAAAGAAACAACCATCCACAAAAGTATTCCACGAAAAAAGAACCTCAAAAAACACTCTCCGAGAACTTTATCTTTGGCAAGTCAACCACCGAGGCCTTTCGAGTTTAGCTGCTCTCTCGCTCTCTCTCTCTCTCTCTCGCGGTGGTCTTCCCCGCATCCATCCGGCAGTCCAACTCGCCAGCGGTGCATGACAATCTCCTCACCTGGCTTCCTCCTTGGGGAGAGCTGCCAGTCGGAAATGCAGGTTCCAAAAGGGTTCAGCGGATCTCCAATGATAGATGAGCAGTCCAAAGATCCAACACATAAAACGTTTTATATATCATTCAGAATCATTCATAAGAATTCCACTTTTGGGTTCCTTTTGTTGAAGCTTTGAGAGCGCGAGCCAAACGGAACCACCAAAATGAAAACACCCTCCTGCCGAATGCGTCTTGATGGACTGGAAACTTGCGGGCAGTCCAAGCCCCAGTCACTTAGCAGTGGTCTTGCTTATTATATATACTATGTACTATGAAGTGAAGACCTCTTCACAACTCCAGCGATGGAGGCGTCCGGGGTTTTCTAAGGAAAGCTGTCATTCTGGATCACCAAAGGCACCAAGTGCTTCAATACACATGGCCCTGGGACTTCCTCCACGCAGTTTTGGTGAGCATGTGTAGCCCAGCCCCTAGGTCATCAGTCTGACTTGAATCCATCCTGTCCTGCTACACATTACTTCATATCCAAGCTTTTTGCTTCCATCTCAAAGGATTTGGATGCCTAGTGGTACCCACCTTGGTTGTTTGCACACAACCCAGATCCATCCTTGATCCTCCAAACACACAAAGCCCAGGCGGAAGCTCTACAGAACTTCCACTTCCGGGCATCCACTCCTACCAATTCAGGGAACTTTGGACGCGCTTCTAGAGAGTCATGGATGGATCATTGTCCTCAACGGCTAGGGCAGCTCTTCCACGCCTCCACGCCCCAGCCGGAAGCACCGAACACCAAACCCAGTCTGACCCGGTCACGAACCGTTCCAAAAGAACGCCTCAATCGAATCCAGTTTGCCCACCCTGATCCATGTACCCCCCCAATTGGTGATGTGTTGTCTCCACCTGCCATTTGCTGCCAATGTCCGGGTCGAATCGTACCTTCTCCGCTCCCGGCTGGGAGGTGGGTTGAGGGCCATCACTACATGGATGGCCCATCAGCCGAGTGTCTGGTCCAGGTAGCGGAAGACATCGCTGGAGCTGGAAATCTGCCGGCCGCCCATCCGGACGATGACCTGGTCGGTGATCGGATTCATGGGTGAGCAATGATGCAACCATTAGAGCCTTCGGTCTCCTCCCAGAATCCTCCCTGAATTTGCTGCTCATCATCGAGCCAATGGGGTGCTTCTGCTTGCGCGCAACATCGTGCAACATCCAATCAAATACCGGACCAGCGATGAGGCGGAGCGGTACCGCCGCGAAGCGCCTCCTCGTCCCGGGATGTACCGGGGGATCTGGGAGCCCTGATTTCCTGCCCAAGGGTCCTGTGGTCCCACAAAACGCAGTTCTGCCGATGTTTAATGCGTGTTTTGTTCTTTTTTGTTTTGCTTGTTTAACTATATACTATACTGTACTTGTTTGTTCATAGTATTGTGTCATGTTCTTTCCTCTGCAGTTCTAAAACAAACTCCACGACAAATCATGTGGACAGTTGATAGGTCAAACACCCACCATTTGGATTGTAAAACTTCTGCACTATGATCACTATGGAAGTTTGTGTGGTTTCAGAGTAGATGGCACAAACCCCAAAAGGTGGTTTATATGGACCCCCATCTCAAGGACCTCTTGGGGTTTGCGCCATCTACTCTGAAACCACTGTAACTAGTACTTTGAAGGCTTCGAACGGTAGATCGATTGCGCATATGTGACGGAAAATGATGTACAGTAAACTCAACATCAAGGACTTCATGCTACATCTGAATCCAGCTGAACATCCGACCGTCAAACACGGGAAGCATCCCCTGCGATCCGAGAAGCATCCCCAAGCTGACCACCATGAAGAGCCCTGTGACGGAAGTGGCAAACGGTAGTCTCAGGAAGGGGCACCACGGTGGCATCGGCTCGTCTCCAGATGGTTCAGTGATGTTCAGTAGAACTGGAGGAGCCACCATCTACAGCTGCAGATCCCTGCAGTCTAGATTTCAGTTCTTGAAAGAATTTGGAAGGGCAAGTTGTAGTTTGATGGAGCATGTGCTTGCCACTGACCTTCTTCAGCCCTTTTTTCATTTCCTCTTTCCAGTCAGTAGTTGAAAGTGGAGACAAAACTCTTCACAGGATTTTCCAGTCGCTTCTTCCATTCTTTGTCAGGATGACCCGCTCTCACTCACCTTTGACAAATTGAACATGTCTCGACGTGACAAACATGTTATCATTCGTTGTCAGCTTCACTTGATTCTGCAACCAACGTCATGTGGATCCCAAAACTGAAGAACATTCCGTTGCCTGAACTCGACACCCACAACCCAACACCACTGCGCCGACCACCGTCCCGATGAGGAGGTCAAGTCGCTCCGCGCGGTGCCCTGCTCGACCCGTCTGTCTCTCCCGAGTCGCCTCATGCCAGCCTGTTGAGCAGGACCGCCGGGAACCACCTGACGGATCGGATCCCGCGAGCAGGACCGGCGATCCTACATGGACCGACCGACCGACTCTGGGGTTTGGCCGTTTTTTCCAGTGGCTTTTTCCGCGAGCTCGCGGAAAAAAGGTCCTTTTTTGCCGGGTGGTCCTTATGGGGTTCACACAACACATGTATATATGATTATATATATATATAATATGTGCATGTATTGATTAAGAATTGTAAGGCTTCGCTTTCACAGGTTTCAAGCAGCCTAGTGATCCAAATAGGAGAAACCACGAGAAGCCCGAGAAAGGCGTTCTTCTGCTTGGGATTTGCACTAGCCTGATGTTCCTTTCACAGTAGCCCTGTCTGGAACTAAATTCATTCCGGTTTGATGGAAGATCTTGTATGTTTTCATCTGGGTTTCGTGTTTTAGTGGGTACCTCCTTGGAATTTGTCCGGTGCGGCCGAACCAACCCCCCCCCCCGGTCTTCGTTCTTGGGACACTCTGTCCCACCGTGCCGATTCCGATGTGCTGTGCTGATGTCTTCCGGCCGAACCGGGCGCGACCCGTTCGAGGAACAACACCGTTGCCGGACACCCCGTTGGCTCGGCCAATGTGGACGGAAGATGACCAATCGACTCAGAGTTGGAGAAGTTCCTCGGAAAATACGTTGATAATTTTGAAGATCCTTACATACATGTTCGCAAGGGGGATATAAAACATACCGAATTGTAAGTTCCATCTTTTGGGGAGGGTCCACCATGAGTCCATGGTCAAACATATCATATTAAATGTTGCGAAAGGAACCCTCAAAGCCTACATTTTCGATGTCAAGCCTCAATTGTTGGTTGTAAGCTTTCATGTTTGCCACTGATGATGAGCAGCACATGAACTCTGAGCAAAGATCAGCGAAGGATCAGAATTATCAGACTGTTCAAACAGAATACAAAGGCTTGAAAAAAACAAAGAGGGGGGATCGAAACATGTAAGTTGCCACGTTCCGGGTATTATGTTACTTCAGACATCTGAAACCCATCTTTTAGTCTGAATCTTGCAATTCTTAATCTATCTGGACAAACATGGCCCCAGAACACCTCTTCAAGATCCCCAGAACATCCCAGAACACCTCGACATCGGCCTCCTTCCTTCCTTCCTTCCTTCCTTCCATCGGCCCCCGGCGCCGGCGGGCGCCTTCATCACCATGGCTCCCGGGACGCCCAAGGCGCCGGACACGGAGTCGGGCGCCAGCTCCACCCCAATGGAGGGACGCGACACATAGCCTGGAGGTGGGGACCGTTCGGTGGGGGAAGAAGAAGCTGAAAGGAGCCATGCGCCAGCGCACCATAGTACACCAAAACGTTCGATGTTAGTTATACCCCATCGGAAATGGATCCCATTAAATATCTTATTATATAACATATATATATATACTATGATACTATATATTCATATTAAACTATATAAAATACGTATACAATAATGCTTCGGATCAAACCAAACCTACTTGTTCTTCTACTAGCTCCGGAGGTCCTGCTACGTTTGCTACCCCAAATACGCCCACACCGTCTCATCCAAAATCCGGCAAAGCGTTGCTTGGGCTTCACCTCAAGCCCATGCTGGTGCAGCGCAGCGGCCTTCTTCGATCATGGCACCCACATTCTTGGCCACGGTGTCGATGGGCAGGGCAAAGCCAACACCAGAAAAGGTACCTGTAGTCCAGCAAAACGGGGTTGCTTTGGGTCTAGAAGTTGCTGGGAGAGCTCTGGGCTTCGAAGCGGGCTATAAGATCTCTAAGCCGCTGCAGTGTCCCGGTTGCACGCTTCAAACGGAATTGGTGATTCTTACCATCGAACGCTGCCTGGAAAGCGCCATCGAAACATGTGGATATCATCTTGGGCCACTAAGAATGGTTTATCTCGGTAAAATTCATCTGAATTGGCTTAAACATGATGAAAGTAAGTGACATGATAGCAATCACAAATCTTCTAGAGTAAGTGACATGAGCCATGAAAGTCAAAGTTAGAGCTCTTCATCGGCCCCCGCCACATGTCCTGAGAGCCAAACCACTGGTGGAGAGGATGGCTGTGTTGACACCCACCACGCTGCCTGGAAAGATGGCGGACCGTGGCCGAGCCACGAGTGCTGCAGTTGAGTGATGTGGTATGCCCAAAGCATTCAAGACCATCCGACAAACCAGGCAAACCACCCTTATTTAGAGTCTAGACTATTAGAGTCTGCTGAAGTCGCATGCAAGATCCATTGAAATGCAATGGTGTTCACATGATGTAACATAATGTACACTCCTGGAAATGATCATGGTTGGTTATGCGGATGGCATGGCTCTGTAAGGATGACGTGTTCCGAATACCGAACAGGTGGTGCTATTCACTTCCATTCTTTCAGGGAGAGTATTTGGAACGGAACGACAGAAGACCCTCCGCCTTCAGGTGGGCGCACCTTCGCTGTCAAGGAGAGGGCCGCCACTGTTGCCAGGATTGATGGAGGCATCGGTCTGGATGATTCCTCGGCCGGCCGTTGCGGGGTCGGACATCGATGCTTTTCTCAATGGGTGGCTGACCCTCCGTCCTCCGCCTCTGCCAAAAGGAACTACCCAGGGGGAGCAACATCACAAAAGCATGTCAAACATTTGACCACCCACTTCATCCCACAATATGCTGCGTTGCGTACTTCCCTCACTTTAGAATCACCTGCGTTTTTAGTCGCTGCAGGCTGCAGGTGAGGAAGTCCAAGAATCCTGCAACCAACCATCATGTCAAGATGTATTTCAACTTCTCCATTCATCCTTCATCATTCATCATTGTCAACATCATCACCATCATCATCACCATAATCCTCATGATAATGAGCATTGTCACCACCACCACCACCACCACCACCACCATCATAATGCCAACCAAAGTCACTGCGCACGTCACTGTCTACATACGCCATTATATAAATGCTTATATTAAGTTTCCATAAACATAAATCGTCCTTGACTCATTTACACCAGAGTCACCAGAGTGTACACCTTTCGTCCTGCATGTCCCTCTCTCCGCGCGGCCATAGGGTCTCATCTTGTCTAACACGCGCTTTTGATCAAGAAACCTGATAAGTACCTATAAAAGTGGTACTCCACTATGGGAGGGTTTATATACCAGGTATATACCAGTTATATACCAGGTATATGTCATTATTCTATGGGAGTGGTATGGGAGTGGTATAGGAAAAATCCTTATAGGAGTGGTATAGGGAATGTAAGTCAGTGGTATGGAAGTGGTATGGGGAAAATCCTTATAGGAGTGGTATGGGGAATGTATGGGAGTGGTATGGGAGTGGCTGCCAGGATGCTTTGAGTTTGAGCAGATGCACCCACGTGCATAATTCTCCCATAACTTTATAGGAGAAATCCATGTCTTCAACTCCTTGTACCTATACTGCTCCCATGCACAGGTACCATTTTTGCACGTACTTAACAAGTCTGTAGATTTGAATTGCGGCCAGTCCCCACATGTTTGTCTATTTTCATTGTGTCCTGTTGGAGTCCTTCCCTTACTTTAGTTCCTTGATGTTCCTTGAACCCTTTTGAACTGAAGTTTGCGCCTTTCCTCTGGTACAGAAGTGTCCCTACTTTTTACCCTTTCCTTTCGTTCCAGTTACCTGCACCTAGTCAGAAGTGAGAACTATTCATGGAATTCTCCGCCAGGTTTCACCATCCTTGTTCAGCCACTGGCTTTGAGCCAACCACGCGTATGGTGCCGTTCATTTGCTGCCGGGGCGGAGAAGTCGGGCTGCCCGGGGCGGACCGAGAAGGCATCGGTCTGAAGAAGTGGAAGTGGATGAAGTTTCTACTCATCGCGAAAGCACCTTTCACTTTCGAACGAAAGACAGTGCTGAGAAAGGTGCTTTTTTTGTGCCTGAAGTTGAAAGAAGCTCGCTTTCGGAAAGAAAGTGCTTTGCGTCTTCGCACTCGTCCACTACTTTCACTTGCCAAGAAGATCCAAGAAGGCATCATCCAAGTGTGACGTCGTAGCTCACTCCATCAAGTCGTCCGACAGAGAGTGAAGGTCGGAGCAGCCAAGTCTTTTTCCGCTAGACCACGTTGGTGTGTATCTTGATAGGGAGAGCCCAAACCAATATTGGTTTGGTTCAATATGACATCTTCCTTGTCATGAATTTGTAGAATATACAGTACATGAATATACACTCCCTGGAATCATCATGGAAGTGGTATCAAACTCAAAAGGCGAAGCATGCTTCGTGCATCATCCCTTCGTCACGTTCCCGCTGAGACTGACACCGCTCATGGGCCATCCACCAGTGCCCTTGGGTGAGCCAGACGGCTGGTACCGTTGCTTCTTCTAGCCCCTAGTGGGATCCACATACCTTCTCAGAAGGCGTTTGGACCCTCCAAACATATATAAAAAACAAAAAACAACATAAACATGTTGAATAAAAAACATATTTGGAGGGTCCAAACATAAAAGTGTCCAGAAGGTGTTTGGACATGTCATACTTTGAACATTTTTATATAATCAAAAAACACATAAAAGTGTTGAACAATGTCGAACACCTTCTCAAAGAGGATGTCAATCCATTGCCATAGGGAACGGGAGCCTAATTCCCTTTGCAAGGACTGACTCCCGACTTGATTCCCTGGAAGATAAAGGTTAATTATATAATATTCCACCTGGTTTTGGGCAAACCATTTGCATTTATTTGTTGCGAATAATTAAGAACGACATGACATGTTCATTGGTGATGGTTTTGTTCAGTTGATTTCAACAGTGATTGCTTCATAGCACATGCAAGTACGCTCATTGATGCTTGCCGTTTCTGTCATTTCACAAGAGTGCTGATATAGATCAACTACAGCCATTTTGGGGGTACTTGGGTGACAGTGTCTCCTTCACTCGATCTGCGATGGAGCAACAAGGATTTGGATTTCCAAGGATTTGGATTCTCCGTCCGGTCCCCCTGCGGTAAGACACTTCATCAAATCTTCTCCTATCCCCTCAGTGGATAATTTTTTTGAAGACCACTTTTCCCCTGCGGCTACGAAGAGATCGCTGCGGCAGACCGTCTGTCCCTCCGCTGTCCTGGCCTCCATGCTTCGAGAAAGGCCACTAATCACGCCTTTGCCTGGTGAGTCGTTCAGGTGAGAAAGGTCAGCGATGTTGTGACTCTGCGTTTTGTTTTTCTGTCGTGGTCGTACTTCAAACGTAGGAAACTTGAATGGTCGAGCTCTAAGTCTTTGGAAACTACTAAGTTAATAGGTTCTGGCTACGCTACCCATCAAAATGTTTCTGGAGAATCCCTCAGATGATATCGGAAGGCTTTTCTCTGAATTACGGCGACTATCTACATTGAACATCCCCGTCCAAATGGCACAAAGAGTGTGCTTCTTGCAAGGGAATGTACTGAATCTGGCCCTTTGGAGCCCATGATGGCCGACTGTGACCTGGATGGACCAGGCACAGTCGGAAATGCGCACCCCAAAAAACGGGGGAATTCGATGATGTGAGAAGAATGTCCAGATGCGAACGGAGTGACCGTCTTCCGTCGCGAAGAATCGGGTTACCGAACAGGGTCACTCGTCCAGGCTAGAATTCCAGCCCGAAATCCATTCAGTATTTCTGCCCGAACAGGGTTTGAAACGCCCGACCCTGGATATATATATATTATATATATACAGTATACATAAGGAACATAAGAGGCTCAAGTCCGGCTCAAGGCTCAAGGGATCTTGGCTCAAGCGTCACCACCTGCCGCCTGGGCTCTTCGGTTGACCATCCAGGACGTTTCTGAGCTCGAGACCGGTGGCCCCTGCAATTGCTACCACATCAAGATGTATGGTGGTTGGTGCAGGAGCTATCAGGTGTGCCGTAACAGCTCCTGCGGCAACTGGATCTGGGAGGACAAAGTGTGTGAAGGATTTGTGTGCCGCCGGTGTGGACAGGGCTGGACAAAGCCTGCACAAGGCTACTCGGCCAAGAAGTCACCCTCACCGAGAAGGTCCGGGCCTCGCCAGAAACCTTTGACTCCTCCTCCAGGATTGGGGGGACACAAAGGAGCTCGACAGCACCAAGTCCACAAGGCCACCACGAACCTTTTGACAGCTTCCTGGACCACGCTGGATTCCAAGTTGCAGAGCCAGCTCGAGCAACTCGGCATCAAGCCACCCGGCCCGAGTCCTGAACCGGACTTGACAGATGTCCTCAAGGAGAACCTTTCCCAGTTGCCAACGGCGGTCAAGGAGCTGGTTGAGAAGATCACCCGTCCACCACCCGAGAGTGAACGGGACATGGCTCAGAAGCTCAAAGCTCAGGTGTCCACTCTTCGAGACCTGTCACACCGTAAGCAGGTTTTGCAGCAGAAGCTGGACCAGGCCAAGAAGACATATGGCGACATGCTGGAAGAGATGAAGGGCATCCAAACCAAGTTGGAGGCTGAGCAAGGGGCTGTGAACACTACAAGCTCCGCCTACATGGCTTTAGTGAACACCACCAAGCCGGTGGAAGGGCTCCAGTCAGAGATGGTGATGACACTGTGCCTGAGGCAGTAGCAGGGTTTATCACAACCCTAGGGGTCAATTTGACCAACGACCAGAAGGCCCAGCTCAACACGATGCTGAAACGGCCCCAATCTGACCTCAGTGAAGAAGAAACCAAGAGGCGCCGCACTGCAGCCACAGAGGTTCTGGCATGTGGGTAACCCAGACCCATCTGGCTTGAGCCCATCCATCTTTGAATCTTGCTTTTTTGGGTTTGCTGACACTTGCAGTCAGTCTGAAGAGGTTTTACCAAAGAGTTGCAGGGAGAGAGACAACTCACTTCGACTTTCCGATTTTATCCGATTTTGCAGGCTCGAGGTTTTTCCAAGGCCGCGGGGTTTACGGTCCTTGGAGATCCGAGCCTGGCACCTTCAAAGTCAAGGGAGGTGCTGGCCTTGACGGCCTTCCAGATCTGAGCAACCAGCCTGACCCAGGGGCACCGTGTCCTTCTACCTCAGTGCGGACCTGCAAAGGTACTGCAACTAACGGGACCCCTCAGGCCAGGCTGGCTAGGCTCATGATAGACATCATGGAGGACGAAGATCAATCCATGACGGCAGAAATTTTGACACCGGGTCAACGAGCTCTGTATGACCTATGCAAACATGACCTTCTTTCATCATGCCAAGCCT